GAGCGGGGCTGAGCCGACCGGGAGGGATCGAGGGAGGGAGAGGGAGTGGAGAAGTGGAAAGCCGACGGGCTGGCCGTCCTGGAAGAGGCCCCTCAGGGGCTCCCGCGCGAGGGAGCGCCCCCTGGCGTCCAGCACTTGGCGGGACGTCCAGCCCATCCCAAACCCAGACAGGCTGACCCGTTTGAACTTCTTGAAGTGCATTATGCCACCCTGTATGCGGGAATCTTCTTGTCAGTGGCCCGTATGTTATGTTTATTAAAAGCTGTAAATAATCTCTTGTTTTTTCTGAAAGATTTTTATGGCACAAACTGTTTTCATACACTCACAGGTTAAACAATATCTTTTTTTTTTTTCTCTCAAGATTATGTTTACTTAAACATTTCCAGTATTAACAAAGACTTCACGAACCTGGGCAAGGTGGTGCATGCTTGTAATCTCAGTGCGCTGGAGAGTGAGGCAGGGGGACTGCAAGTTCGAGCCCAGCCTTAAAATAAAAAAGACTTGGAATGTAGCTCAATGTGGAGGCTGTAAGTTTGATTCCCAGTACTGAGCACAAACACACAGTCTTCATGAATTTAAAAATTATTTCAAGTAGAGCATGGTAGGTCAGAAACACCAGAGGCTGAGGCAGAGGATCCAAAGACCATGGCCAGGCTAGACAGTTTAACTCAGGAGCCTGTCTCAAAAAATGTAAAAGAGTAGGGGAAGTAGCTCAGTGGTAGAATGATTGCTTAGCATGTGCAAGACATTAAGTTTAATCCCCAATATCATCAATAAAAGGTCTATATATATGAATGCATTTCAATATTGATACTTACCATAATTTACCTGTTGGGTCTGTTCAAACCCAACCATGACCGCTAACTGGGGGAGAAAGAAAGAGGTGTATTTAATTACACTTGTGGTTTTTTAATTGACAAGGATATGGGAAAGGTATAAGCAAGCTTTGTACATAACTTCCTTTCTTGGTTGCCTGTTTTCCCTGTTTGTAATGTGTAAGATTTTCTCATCTTTTGTGTTTAGAAATTTCCCCTGGTGCAAAAATTCTACCTGTGTAGTCTTTTTCTTTGTTCTGCGTGGCATTGGTGATGTTTTTCCATTTGAAGACTATGATTTGGGAGAGTTATTTTCTCTTTCAAAAAGTGTTCCTCTATTGTTTATTGCTTCTGGTGTATAGGTTCACTTGTGGGTGAAGAAGTACAGGGGATCAAACCCAAGGTGCTTTACAACTGAGCTACATTCCCAGTCTTTCTCTTTTTTTAAAACAAGATTTCACTGTTTACCTGGGTTGTCCTTGAACATATGATCCTCCTACCTCAGCCTCCCACTTAGCTGGGATTACAGGCATGTGTCACCTCATCTAGCTATGTTCTTTGCTTCTTTCTCCTTTGTCCATTAGCAAAGCCTATCAAAATTATCCATTGCCAACATGGCCCTTACCTGTTCCCCCACTGTGCTCATTTTTATATATTTTGGAGCAGAATTTGTTTGTCATTGTACTGGGTATTTAACCCCATGACTTCACGCTGAGTGTGGTGGATAAACTTGTCATCTCGATGGTGACTTGGGAGCCACCCAGGAATTGGTGAAACACACTTCTGGGTGTCTCTGGGTGGATGTTGGAGGTGCGGGTCTATATCTGGTCCCTTGCCTTTTCCTCTGCGGCACTGTCCCCTACTCTGTTTCCAGCTGCCATGAGCCAAGTCGTTTTGTTCCACCACACTCTTCTGCCACGATATTTCTGCCTTGGAGCCAGCCACCCATTGGCTAAATCCCCTGAATCTGTGAGTCGAGTTGAACTTTTCCTCCTCTAAATTAGTGGTTTTGGCTATTGTGTCTCAAAAATGGGAACATTGACTAATACAGGCCATCAGTGGGGTCATACCTGTGAGTTTGCCTGCCTGTGTGGCTTAGAAGCTTTTGGAACTGGTTTTCGAGAGGAGTTTGTAAAGGTTTGGAGACAGTCTATAGAAGTCCTAAAATGCTGTAATCAGAGCATGATGGATGTTTCCGGTCAGAGCTCAGAGGACCAAAATCCTGATAGACATGCAGATAGTAAAGACAAGAGATTTTGATTGGGAACGGGACTTCATTGGCACCTGGACTACATTTGTCCATTTCCTGAGACTTTGAAAGAGATTGAGATTAAGGACAGTGGCCTAATTGATCTTGCAGAGGTAATTTCATGATGGCTCATCTTTCAGGCTGTGGCACAGATAACTGCTGCGTGCTTTTAGTTGGGTTTATAGTAAGAATTGGGAGAAAAAGGAGAACAGAAAAACTTAAATTTTGGCCCTCAAGAAACTACATGTAAAGTTGGGGCTCAAGAAGATATGGTTGTTGAAGAGATTAGCACCATTAAAAGAAACCACCATGGTTGTATAGGGACAGGAAGAAAAATGCCTTGAGGGAATCTCAGAAATCAACAAGACTCCATCTATCCAGGCTCACGGATGCAAAAATATGTGAACTTTTCGTTTGAGGAGAAAGTTCCTGGGACCCTTGCTCAAGAAGGGCCTCGTGGGCTGGGGATTTAGCTCAGTGGTTCTGATGCCTGCCTCGCAAGTGCAAGGGCCCGCATTCGATCCCCGATACCAAACAAAAAAAATAGGCAAGCTTACTATACAGAAATGTGACTGTTGCTGAGGATTTGGCTCAGTGATTCTGCCACCTGCCTTGCAAGTGCAAGGGCTTAAGTTTGATCTCTGACACCTCCAGGTAAAAAAAAAAAAAAGCCTCCTACTACAGGATTCATTTCAGTGTGTTCAACCATCCAGGCACTCAGAAGCCACTGCTGCCATGGTTCAAGGGGACCTGGCTATTGCCTGCCTTGGTGGCAGACCTTGGAATCATCCATGTGGTGGTAGTGTTATCAGCAGGACCCCTTATGAGAACCATACAAGAAGTTGTAGGGATAAAGCTACCGGTGCAGTAGAGACCCCAGTAAGTCAGAAATGGCAGAAACATGGAACATCTACCAGGGAAAGTTGCAGGCATGCAATGTCAACCCGAGAGGCTCTGTGGGCTATAGCAAGCAAGACCTTAGGGATGGGGCTGCCCAAGTCATTTAGGGCTCACATTTTACCACTGTGTGTATCGCAGATGCTAGATATGGAGCTACAGAACTTAAAGTTGGCCCTCTTGCATTTAGGTCTTGTGTTGGTTCTATTCTTTTCTATCATCCTATTTCTCCTTTTTGGAATAGGAATGTTTACCTTGTGCCATTATGGGATTATGTAACTTGGTGTGTTTGTTTGTTTGTTTTTTACAGAAGTTCACAGCCAAGAGTTTACCTTGAGTCTCAGAAGAGATTTGGACTTAGACATTTGAAAAATGCTGAAACTGTTGAGATTTGGGGGAAGAGATTGTTGTGTTTTGTTTGTATCTGGAAGAGGTATAGTACTTTGGACAAAATTATGAACTTGGCTATTTGAAGATTAAGATTTAAGAGAATGTGTGTGGGTGTGAAACTGACAATGGGTAGAGTGTGGTAGACTCAAATGTCAATTTGATTGACTTGGGAGCTGCCTGGGAATCAGTAAAACATACTTCTGATTATATCTGATTGGGTCGTGGAGGTGCAACCTTTGGGTCTATGTCTATCCTTTTACCATTTTCTCTTTGTCCTTGTTCCCCTGCTCTGTGTCTTGGCCACCTTGAAGCAAGCATCCTTACTTCACCATGCTTTCTTCTTCCATGATGTTTCTGCCTTGGAGTTAGCTGACCATGAACTGAGCCCTCTAAAATTCTCAGTGACAGAAAAAGCTGGCTAAAACACTGAGCTACATCCCTAGTCCCCTACCACCACCCCTTTTTTTGAGACAAAATCCCATTAAAATGCCCAGGCTGACCTTGAATTTACAATCCTCCTGCCTCATCCTCCCAGAGTGTTGGGATACAGACACGTATCATCATAACTGGCTCTCATTTCATTTTTAGTAACATTTTCTTCTATTATATCCCTGAGTCCTATGCTCCACAGTATCCCCCTATTGTTTCATCTTCTGCCTTTTCCTTTAAGCCACTTTATCCTTCACATGGCTTATGATGGCTTTTGCCTTATGTATTAGTGCATATATGATTTCCAAGCACCTACCCAGATCTACC